CAGCACGGAGCCGCCCGTGCACGTCCTGCTGGTGGCCACGTCCGCGCTGCCTGTGGGGCCGCCTGCTCCCCTTCGGCCACTCTGAGCCGGGACGGGTTCGTCGGGGGTCGCCGCGTCGTCCTAGTCGCCTCGGGTCGCCGAGGCCGCCGTGGAGCAGACAGCCTGGGAGCCCCTGCGTCCGGATGGGCGCCCCGAGAACCCTGGGGTGGGCCCCGACCCAGAGAGGATACGCGATGGGTCGGGGCTGGGTGACGACCCCCTGCCTGCTTCCTCGAGGAGGGTCGCCGAGCCCGTGTGCCGAGGGGTCCGGGTGTGGCTGCGGGCCGCCGGCCCCCAACCCAGCAGGCCACCCGGCGACCCTCTGACGCCGAACCCGTTGACCTCTTCGCCTCGCAGTTCCTCCCCTTGGGAACGAGACTGTTCCCCGGCAGGCCGGGTCCTCTGGGCCGTGGCCGTTGAGCCCTCTGCACTGGGCGTCCTCCGGGACAAGCAGGTTAGCGCGAAGCTTTCCACTTAGGTCGCGCGAAGACGCAAATGAAGAGATGGGATATATGCTGGGCTCTGACCAGTCGAGAAGCGGTTTTCGGGAATCACCAGTGCATCCGTCCCCGTCGTGGAACGACAGACTGGACAGTAAATTGCGTAGTATCCGTGTGGGAAGGAGAAAGCGAGACTGTATTGTCTGCTCAAACAGAAAAAAAGCCAGGTTTTGTTGGAAGACGTCCATTACTGTCGCACAACATGTATCAGTGGACCTGCGATGCATGTTGGTGACTGTTTCACATGTCACCACAAGTTAGAAAAATATATAAAATTTTGATTTGGTTGGTCATAAGTTCCTCGATGTCCATTATAAGCCACATGTCATTGGTTCCAACACTATTTAATATGAGGTGATTCCTTTTTTCACTCTTGTAAAAAAGTGTGGTTAAGTTGCTAGTAGGTGATCTGCAAGGTATCTCCAAGTGCAGAGGGTTAAATTAGATTGTGTGTGGTTGGTCCTGTTCATCTTTTTTAAAGTGCCTTACAATTCTGCAGTGAGGCCACTGCCTTGCTAGACTGGTGTGGCCATGTGCTCTTTGAGCTATGGCTGTCACCATGCTTTGGCCCCTTCCCCCGCCTTGGGGAGGTGACTCTTTCTCTAATTTACTTCTAAATAAACTATAGTTTCTGATCTAACTTGTATGCAATTCTTTGCATCTTTTATGCGGCATCAGGTCACACCCCAGACACCCACACTCCCAGCAGGCCTGACCTAACATTCTGGAGGCCCTGCTGGGAGAGTGTGACCCTAACTTATTCTGGAGGCTCCAGCGAAATGACACTAACATTTTTGGAGGTTCCACGGAGACCTGCGCTGTCTTCTCTCCAAAAGCCCTTAAATATACACCCTTTGAGGCCACACTTGCCTCTTAGTGCAGCCCCGTTTCCAGTCTGTGAAAGGTGAATAATGAACTTTAACTTCTTTCTACTTAAAAAAAGAATTCTGCGGTGAGGGGTTGGGGTCATTGTGCTTGTGGGTCCGGTGGGTGCAGTACAGAGTTGCTTCCCGCTCCTCTGACCTACACATCATCCTTATAGCTCACGGGCTTTGCCCTGCTGGTTCCCCCACCAAGGAAGTGCTTCTGGTAAGCCCACGCACCCACTGCAGTGCCCGCAAAGGCCTCAGGGACAGTGGGGATAAGAGAGGGAAGCCCATGGCCCCTGCCTTCTGAGAACGTGTCTATAGGGAGAAAGACCAGCAGCCCAAGCAACGTCGCATCAGTGAAGTTGGAGCATGTGCTGGGACACCAAGGAATCGGCCGCGTGATGCCTGAGCAGAAGTGGTGTCTGAACCACGACCTGTGAATTCTCTAACTCTATGAACAAAAATAACACACTTCCTTGTACTGTGAAAGTACCATTAGGTGCACAAGCTCATTGAACGTTGTGCCGCCCCTGTGTGAGAAGGGATCAGCAACCCCGTTGCTGGAGGAGGAACTGAGTCTTCCAAAGGTTTAAACAACTTGCCTGAGTCTTACAGTTGGTCAGCAGCAGGGTCTGGACCTCAACCCACATATGTGGCCCCTAAATGCAGAGAGTTTAAATTCCAGCTGTCTACCCGTAAGTCTCTCCCCGAGCCCACTGCTGGTACTGGGGCTTTCTGTGGGCCTTCAGAGTATGTCACACTTCTGTTAGGACGCTTCATCACCTTCTGCTTTATATCGTGATTTGAGTGTGATTCCTCCTCTCCTCCTGTCAGTTTTTCATAACTTCTTTTTCATTCCCCTTGCCAGCGATCTTGAGTATAAGATTTGGCTGCTTTATACCTGGACTAATGACTTCCTAACTGGTCTCAGAATTTCCAGGACCTTCCCAGTTCAATGTCTTCTCCAAATGACCACCACGTTTATCTTAATGCAATTCCCTTACATCTTCTGCTTATAAATCTCGAGTTGTCCACCTTGGCACATAGGACATTTAGCACTTAAAGTCTTTTAGTCCCCAGCCTTAATTTACCCTCCCAGTCATAGCTCTTACTCTGCTCCATATGAGGGCACCTTAACAAAATCAGTCTGAGCCAGGGGCACCTGGTCGCAGTGACTCAGGCGGCCGAGGTGCGAGGATGGCTTGGGCCCAGGAGATCGAGGCTGCAGTGAGCCTTGATCATGCCATTGCACTCCAGCCTGGACAACAGAGTAAGAGCCCGTCTCAAAAAATAAATGGCCAGGCACGGTGGCTCACACCTATAATCCTAGCACTTTGGCAGACCAAAGTGAGAGAAGTGCCTGAGCCCATGCGTTTGGGACCAGCCTGGGCAACTTGGTGAGACCTCAGCTGTACAATAAATCAAAAAATTTGCTGGGTGTGGTGGCGCATGCCTGCAGTTCCAGCTACTTGGAAGGCTGAGGCAGAAGGATCACCTGAGCCCAGCAGGTCAAGGCTGTGGTGGCCATGAGCATACTACTGCACTCCAGCCTGGGTGACAGAGTGAGATGCCAACTCAAATAAATACATAAATAAATACAAATAACAAAAATTTAAAGACCAGACTATTAAACATGAGCTCGACTGTGCTTTGTTCCCTCTCTTCTCCAACAGCTGGCTTGACTGTGCTCTCTGGGTGTCTGCCCCACCCTAATACCACCCTTCTGTGATGCCACATGTCTGCCATGCGGACTTCCTCACCACAGCAAGCTTTCCCTGAACTGCAGCAAGCTCAGTCTATCTCTTATTTGGCACAGAGTGAATTGCACCACAAACTGCCCTCACTCCGAGGCCGACGGGATGGGAAACACTGTGTGAAGTTGGTTAAAAGATGCCACTTGGTTCTTGTTGGACTGCTTCCTCATTATTATTCCATTACAGATGCACAACAGAGACACGGACATGCCAGAAAGTGAAGTCCTTTCTATTCTGCCAGAAACATGATACTCAAAGTTTTCTGCCACTTGTACCCACACGTTTCCACCCTGACCATCCCATCTCGACTGCTCTTCAGAAGCATCTCTGGTGCACGACGTTGGGTCCGACTTCTTTGAACTCCTCAGCCCTGATCCACATGTCCTGGAAGGCTGACAGGGAGGCGAGGATGGAGCCTCCCATCCACACGGACAGCTTCCTTTCCGGGGGAGCCGTGACTTGCACTGGGGTGCTGGCGGGAGCCGCCTTCACTACGTCCCTCACCAGCCGCTTGTCGAAGCCAGGGAAGATGGTGGATCCGCCAGCCAGGACAATGTTGGAGAAGAGGGCGGGCCTCAGGTCGGCGTCGCACCTCAGGACGCTGCGCAGGCACATCTTGTCCACGCCAAGGGCCTCCAGGCCCGCGAGGCGGGGGGAGAACAGGGCCTCGGGGCAGTGGAAGAGCGGTTCGCGCAGCCTGAGGACCTTCCCGTCCGGAAGCCTGTACACCTTCTCCAGCGAGTCTGGCTTCCCGACCAGCTCCTCGTCGAAGTCCATCGCCACATAGCAGCAGGTCTCCTTGATGTCCTCCAAGACCCTCCTGTCAGCACCCCTGAGCAGCATGATGCCTTGGCTTTGCACCAGCAGCATGAGGTGGTGGGTGAGATCGAGGCCTGCCAGGCCCAGCTGCTGGACCCCGTGGGGCAGGCAGTAGCCCTCGAAGACTGGCACGCTCTGGGTCAGCCCCGCACCAGAGTCGAGCACCAGGCCAGTGGTGAAGCCGGCAGCGAAAAGGGCCAGCACCGCCTGGATGGACATGTAGAAGGCGGGCACACCCAGCTGCTCGAAGAACACCTCGGCGGTCTGCTGCCGGCTGGCCAGGGGGTTCAGGGCCGGCTCAGTCAGCAAGACCGGGCTGTCGCTGGGCTGCAGGCTCAGGCTGTGGTAGGTGTGCCTCCACATGGTCTCCATGTCCTCCCAGGACACGACGAGGCCGCGCTCCACCGGGTAGCTGGAGGAGGGCAGGGAGAGACGGGACAGCGTTTTACTACCCCAGCTGTCGTGCTCTCAGAACTTGGGGTGGCCCCGTGTCGACCACCAGGGTTCCTTTGTGGGCAGTAACTGCTGCCCCTCTCAGAAGCACCATGGCAGCAGCCATCTACCTCTGCAGCTGTCACTTTCCATTTCTCTCCCCTTGGAAGACTGTGACGTGTTGAAATTTGGGAAACCCTCACCTTAGAGTGTTGTTTTAATATCACTTCACTGGGGAGGCTAGCCCAAGGGACAAAGGTACTGTGAGTTAGGTAATATTCTTAAACGACTTTCTATGTTGTGAACAATAACTTGTGCATTTGAATGAACCTCCATCTTTGGATGTCAGGTACCCTGGAGGTGTGCAGACAGCGTGTTTGCAATGGAGCCAGCTAGCTGGGATGCCTGTTTCTGGCTTCCTGACCCTCCGCCTGGGCTCCCTCCACCCAGGCATCCTCCATCTAGGCCCCATCACCCGGGCTCCCTCCACCTGGGCACTCTCCACCTGGGTCTCTCCGCCTATTCTCTCTCCCCACCGGCTCCCTCTCCACCTGGGCACCCTTCACCTGTTCTTCCACCTGGCCTCCCTCCACCTGGGCATCCTCCACCTGTTCTCCCTCCACCTGGCCTCCCTCCACCTGGGCATCCTCCACCCGGACACCCTCCACCTGTTCTCCCTCCACCTGGCCTCCCTTCACCTGGGCGTCCTCCACCTGGCCTCCCTTCACCTGGGCGTCCTCCACCTGGGCTCTCTCCACCTGTTCGCCCTCCACCTGGGTACACTCTGCCTGGGCACCCTCCACCCGCCTGGGCTCCCTCCACCCGGGCTTT